GGCATTCTCCCACACTTGACCCCTTTAGATATCTGTGGGTTTCTAGAGACCGAGGAACTGGCCTGCTAGTATACGAATGCTCAGGGTCTTTTTAATAAACTGGCCGAACTGAAAGATCGCCAAGCTTCCGGGTCATATGATGTCATTGGTATCACCAATGACGGACGGACGCTGCAGTTTCGCTACTAGGCATATCGCTGCTTCGGAACGATAGGCTCACAAAAGGAGGACGGGTAATCCTGTATTACCGAAGCGACTTACATTGCGAAGCCGCGGTGGCTTTAGACTTGCAGTTCCCCGACTCTCTTTAGTTCCGCTTGCAGTTAAAAGGCAGAGATGCCTGCCTTATTTTCTTGGTGTACCGCCCCCTATCTCTGCACCCAAAACCGATTGCCACATTACGGCTGCTTTAAGATGCAGTTTATAGGGAAAGTACACTCACATTCTTATCATGGGTGATTTCAACGTACATTGTTTAGAAACCCCTGCCACGATCGGAAAACAATTCAAAGGCGATCTACAAGGTCTCGTAATTACTGTTCTTTTTACAATCACATCACTTTGTCCACTTGGTTCAGAGCTGGTAACAGGCTATCTGTGCTTGATCTTGTGCTTATCAGCGAGGAGCATATGATTGATGTGTTGATTTTAGGCTGCCCATTGGGTCGCATTTGCCACGCATTCAACAGATTCAACTTCATCTGCTATGCGGAATATCGGAATGACAACGATGGGACTGTGCGAACCATCACAAGCTATGATCAATTAGTTCAGCTCGTCAGCGCTACAACTTGGTCGTTCCTCGCTAAAGAATCCCCAGAAGTCGCCTGGCTCGAGTTCGTCAACAAATTCAGGCAGCTGATTGAAGAGGCTCAGAGATAAAGTTTGCAATAAGTGTAATCCGTTACTTTCGTTAGGAGCAGAGGACGAAAATGGATGTCAGTACGCAACGCAGCATGGCGAGCGTACAGAGAGGCTCCAGCACCAGAAACTTGGAACAGCTACGTAGCCCAACGTAACCATTGCCCTCAACTGCAAAGAGAAGACAAAGCCGCCTATCAGCAGAATATCGCAAAGCCTTTAGGGCTGACCACAAACCACTGTACGAGCAAGTCAGTAGACTACGAAAGGTGACGGATGGATCACCTGCACTCAGGACGGCTGATGGCCCAATAAGAACGGCTGTGGAAGCAGCAAAAGCGCTGCGGATGCAATATGTTCCCATGTTTCAGTGGGTCTTACCACCAAGCGATCTTCCAACCTTTGTCGTCTCTCCTCCAAGACTAACCCACATTACTTTTATCCCGGAGGCTGTATTGCAAAACCTCACGTCTTTACGCAAATACGGTTCGCCGCATCTCGATACCATTCGTCCAGAGGCACTGGGAGCAGCAGCATGCCAACTAGCAGGAACTTTAGCTCAGTTTTTCTAGCGCTGCTTAGATCAGAATCAACTTCCCGCCATGTGGAAGCTTAGAACCATAACCTGATTCACTAAGGTGGAAGCAGAACTGAGCCTTCCAAAAACCGCGCAGGATTCCTTCTTCCTGTACTCTCCAAGATCATGGAATCCATAGTTAAATATGCACTGGTGTGCTACCTGGAGAACTGTAATATCATCACGCTTGAGCAGCACGGCTTCCCTAGACAGCGGTCATGCACAACGAAGTTACTGATCGCAAGTAGTAGTTTGACCGAGTCAGCTGACGCTGAAGAAGGCGTTGCTGTGCTCTAGCTGGATTTTTCGAAGGCTTTTGATCTTCTAGACCATCGGCTACTACGCTCTAAGCTCTAGCATTACGGGATCGGTGACTCTCTTTTCAGCTAGATTGTCAACTTTCTACTTCCAAGGCAATTAGTGGTCAGAATTCGGAGCTCTTTATCGGACCACATACAAATCGAGTGTGGTGTGTCGCAAAGCTCCGTGTTAGGTCCACGTTTGTTTTTGGTGCTTATTAATGATGTTGCACAGGGAATCGCTTCAAAGTTCCTAATATTTTCAGATGATATCAAGGTTTGGCGCAGGATCAAAATGAACGCCTACTAGCATCTGCTTCAGATGGACCTATAACATTATATTTTCGGTAAATTGCATGCACGACTCCTGAGTGGAGATTTACAACAATTTGCCGAGAAGGAGCGAATGCCCTGGCATAATAATAATCATTGGTTTTAAGTAGACTTCAAAACTTTTGGGCGGAACCGCTTCCATCGTCACCGTGTGTTTGTGTAATCCGACACTGAATGTATGAAATATCAGGTTGTGGGAATCGTTTTAGGAGGACTGGGAGGAAGCTCCCCTCATATATGTATCATATACCATCAGTGATAATCGGAGGGTGGAGAAGCAGATATCCGAGATGTTGAGTTTGGTGAAGCCGAGAGTTGATAAGTATTTCGCCGAAGCCAAATAAATAAATCCCCGATTGTTTAAGATAATTGGATGGTGGTAAATCTCGCGTGTTTTGGGGAATTGTGAGCATATATAATTCGAAATCATTGATGCGTTATTTCCGGAGCCATATTTGTCGACCTTCAGCTGGTGCGTACGCGCCATGCCGTCGGCGTCACAAATTCCGACATCCATGACGTGCACCGATGATCCCTTTACTGCGATTATATCTGGCTTGATGAATGAGGTTGCTGTTGAAATTCTTGTTTCGAGAACGATGTTCACTGTTCGTTTGCGGAGTTTTTTGGCAACTTGCTCTGCAATGACATTGTGGCGTTTATGTCGTGCTTCATGGTTGATGCCACATGATTGTGGGACATGGGACAGAGTCTCCTTTTGTCCACAGTTGCCGCGACATAGTAGCTCGGATTGGGTCTCAGGCGGTCGTCCACTTGCGCGTCGTACTTTTGTAGACAGTAACCCACCTCGAAACTGTATTGCTCGAAAGAACAGTCCAGGGAATATCCTAGGCGGATTCCGCAGCCAGTGATGTGCAGCGGGTGTGGTGACCACTCCACGGAGCGGGCACCCGTCTGCTGAGGTAAGTAGCGCGTCTTTTCATGCTTCCGCGGTTGATACTTTATCCATCACCACTCGGTTGCCGATGGTAACATTGGAGCGCGCCAGTCGATGAATGGAGCCAGCTGCGGGATCTCGGATAGCCCAGCTAGTAATTGGGTGTGCGTTATTAAGATGTTCTTATCGGTCCTTCCGTAACAGTGGAATAGTAGCGGATAAGCATGGTATACCGATACCAAAGTCCCCGATAGAGGAATATCAATGGAAGATCAGTGGTCAACCCAAAATTTACTGCATTTCAACATCTGTTAATGCAAGGTACTTTCCATTCGACATCAGAGAAGCTATTTATACCGACTTGAAACGAATGTACTGCAACAATCAAATGTCGAACGTGACTTTTGTGTCCTGGTTCAAGATGGCTTGGGTTGCTTCAGGCCATCCGAAAAGACCTCGAAGGCTGGAAACCAACACGTCGGACTGTGCGACAGGCATTTGGACAAATAATCAGCGTCATATTTCGACAAATGCTCAGTGCGTATGTTCGCCCTCATGTCGCATACGCAATTAAGGCCTGGCATCCATGGCTGAAACACGACCTTAATACACTGGTGCAGTCACAACGCCAAGCATCTAAGAACGTAATTGGGACTCGCACTCTTTTATACCAGGAGAAGCTGTAACGATTGGGGGTATTCAGCGGAAGCAATCATAGACTACCGGGCTACCTGATTATGGCATACTTGATTCTGCGAGACCCACATCATGTGCTCCGCTCCTTACTGCAACTCAGCAGCAATACAAACCTGAGTGGCCACTCACTGAAATTCCCAGAACCGCGTGGCCATCTGGAGTGCCGTAGCATTTTCTTTTTCCATTCGTGCATGTCACCCGCGGAATGCTCTCCCAGAATCGGTTGTCTCTACACCGACACTAAGAACATTTAAAAAACGGTTGGATGACGCACTCATCCACTTACACTTTGTCACTTAGTGCTACTGCTCCATCTTATCCCTGGAGTTTACCATGGATTTATTTGATGTTAACTCTTGGTGCTGTGATTCTACGAGGATTGCAGGATTACAGCGGAGCGAATGATAAGTCCTTATTATCATTTCTAAAATACCAACTGGTTTATTATTATTAGTACTATTCTTATTATTACTTCGGTATCCCTACCAACTATCCAGCGGGACTTGTACAGCAACGCTTCATAATCCGGATAAATTCATTGTGCATTATAACCTGATCCCGAAGCTTTCAGTTGGTGGCTGCTGTCAACTAGTATTTATGACACATATGATGCCGCCGGGTAGTCGACTAATCGACTATAATTCCTAGTTATGAGCATTTGACCAAGGTTCCGTATACTTCACTGTAGAATAAACAAAAGGACACCTAATGCTGATAACATTACTACCTTCATAACGTTGGTGCGGTAGTTTTAGGGAAGAAGTTCTGATTTAGTACTGCAGTGCCAGTTGAGTTCCAACGGCCTACATTGGCAGATCAAGCCAATTCGACACCAGTTGATCGCTTAAATCTTTGTGTGTTGTTGGCCGTCGTTTTAACTACTTGGGAGAAGCCATATGCTGGTCACACGGTAGCGTTACGAAAAGATATGAGAAAGCTGATTGTGGATATGATCAGCTGGACATGAGACAAGGACATTCGATGTGATTCAGTCAGGCTTTAATCGTGGAATTTGTGACACTTTTGTCATGCATCTAAATGACAACTTGCTAACCAAATTAATCCTACTCTCTTCCTGATAAACTTTTCCATCCGACTTGTTTTTATATTTCATTTCCCTGCATTTCCGTAGTAATAATCTAATTAAATATTGGATCACTTTATTATGCCGAGAACCTCATTCGCCTTGTCCATGATCCCTATAGGAGAAAGAGATAGATGTAGTGATTGCATGCTTACTCTCCCACGGAAATGTTAGCTACCTTTTTTACTTACTACATATCTGAGATTTGCTCATAGCCACCTAACATGTAATTCCTCTTTCGTTTCACAAAAGGGTAGTCGGGTCAGTCGTGGCTTTTCTAAAGAGCAAGGGCAACGCAACTCTTACTGATATTTCGTTGCCCGATGGTATTGTATTGGATTCTGCGTTTACATCTTTGGCAGACGCGGCAATCAAAACGTTTCCAGACTGGGTGAGTGGTTCTTCATATGACAATTGAGTTGAATTAGCAAATCCTGTCAAAACAGCCTCGTTTAGCTGGCTAGTTAACCAGTGTAGTACCTATAGCCGCATCGTACACAGAAAAAATAACAAGCCATGGACTGCGAATGAAGACCCAGTAGTCGCAGTAGTTGTATTATTAGTAGTAGCAATAATACTAATAGTATTATTATAATTATTAGTAAAACAAGTCGCTGTATACGGGGTATTATGATGCACTTCACGGTTATTCCATTTTCGTCAAACAGAAACGTGGTTTTAGTGGTCCGACTAGATGACCATCAGTGTCCAACTAATGAAGTGTGATTTTGCCGACGATAGCACAAGCCAGTAGCATGGTTTTCCGCATAACGCATAAATCCTCTTTAAGCTGCTTTCATCCTCGGACTTGTTGAAAATTCTAGAGGAACTATGGAATCCGTATTCCGACTGGACATCCAGGGCTGGAAAACAAGTTTCTCTTGTTTGACGCGCTTGTTGTTCCCAAAATATCGCGATAGCTCAGTTCCACCATGTTGCTCTGCTTTATCGACTTTGCCCATAAACTGAAAAAGTAAGCTGGCGCTGTTAGCAAGATCTTTTTTCATACTATAGGTTGCGCATGATTCGTTTCTCTGGTTAGAGACGCTGATAAAACGTCGCACATTCTATAGTAGTCTAGCGATTAACCAATGAAGCAGGCACATAACCACCACCTTCTGTCCAACGACTTCTTTTACACTCGTAATAGTGGGCAATTGCAGTAGGTCACTAATATTTTCTGGAGATGGTTTCTAGTCTTCAGCACTCAAGGTGTGTCCCGTCTGCGCAGTTTGTTGTTCGCATAAATAGTCTGCTGCTCTTGTTCCATTTATTCCAGTCGTCTGCGACGTAAGTGGATCTCTACAAATCATCCACGATTTTTTAACATCGCACTTCTTATCTTCAGTCCAATGTAACTGCCGAAGTTGCCTGAAAGATGCATCAAATGTAGTCACCTGAGAATCTGTCATCTGTGCGATATATGAAAACTTGAAACTCTCGACTTTACTATTGCAACCAGTGTGATGTCTGGTGTCGACCTCGTACAACATTACCTCACAACAACAAAGTGGTTTTTCGTCAATGTACATTCCTAGTTCGCCGGTCATCCCCTCAAGAAGTATGACATGGTTGACCAAATCTGGTATCCTTAGGGCTTGTGTTATAATGCCTGGCAAAAAGACACACTACCAACTAGTTCGTATACACAACTACTAGTTATTTCCTAGATCGTAAGCTTACGGGTACAGCGGAGTAATTCAATGGTGAATCAGTGCTACAGCGAAACCTTCGGAATATGTTACCAAACAAGGCAGAGCACAAACCGCTTATTGCTGTACCTATAGGGGTGGTTCAGCGTTCGAAATGATTACTAATAACAGATCATTGTGAGCCTCGTTATTTGTCCCCTGTGTGGCTGTCAGTAATGTCAACAAGTAGGCAAGCACCCAGCACCAATAACGAGTAATCCAAGGGAACAGGTTTGTACAGCAGCAGAAATCACGCAGTACTTGATCAAGTAAATTTGGTTGGTAGAGTAGCGGTGAAAGAAACGAGTGACCAATCACAAGCAACATTAAAAGATTTAGTATTCAGTTATTCGTTTATCGCAGCTGGTTGACCGTGTAACTAACAGGTTGTCCTCAAGTGAATAGAGCTTAATCCGAGAAAACGGTGTCGGTGAGATAAACATCGGTGGCTGGTTGACAAAATACAAAATCAACCCACTTTAAGCAATGCTAAGTAGTGGAATCAACCTTAGTGAAGCGCATAGAATCCTGCTTACGTCGACACCGTATCAATCGGATGCTGTGTTTCATCCTTTACAGTAGTGACCTTAATGTTCCATCTGTTGATGCCATATTGTATAGTAAGGTGTTCACCTCGTTACTTTGACGATTGGGGCAGCAAGCATTCTGAGGCTTCAGCATTCGCAGCTCCGTACTTTTTAATGTTCCAAGTTGTTAACCAAGTATTCGTGGACATCCAACGAACTAGTACAATTGTTGGAAATAACCTTGGTGGAGGCGCAACATAGCATTCCATGAAATTCTTCGCCCATAGTAGCAGATTGTCATTTGTGGTGTGTGTGCAGTCTTGTTTGGGTATAAAAACAGGCTGTTTAGAGTTCTTGATTAGAAGACTGGAGCTGAACTGATCCATTGGAGTAAACATGCTTTAACTGAATAGGGACAACATCACGTATACTTATGCATTGCGATTGCCGCAGACTTCTTGTTTCAATATTCAGTACATTCTTGTATCACTCCGTGTGCAGAGAACAATTTGCTGTCTTAGCTAAAGGTCACACAGACACTACAAGTTGTACGCACTTGTCTAGTGTTTCAACTCTATAATCTAGATGCTCATCACTTCACAAAGAATGAGGTTTCGGCAAAACGATGGATAGTTTGAGTTGGCCATATTTTTCGAAAGTTGGCAAAATTTATCTTTTTGGAAAATTACAAAGTTCAAATTTTCAACCCAGGCAGTCTAAGCTGGTGATCCCCGGTTTAGTTGACAGAACGCCATACACTGAACATTTCCTGACTGCCTGCCTTATCGGCCGAAGCAAATACATCCACCCACTCTGCTTCGTACAACAAGCAGTCGTTGAGAGCTTGAATCTTTGGTTATTTGAAATGTGGCTGGAGCTATCAATGATAGATACTAACAAAAGCAGAGCTGCTGCTTGGTTATTGGACCCTGGTTTTCCTAGGATACAATGTCGCGTGTATTTAAAAGACCGAAAAACCGTTGAAATTCGGAAAAGATTCCAATCACGAAAGCCGAGTTCGTGCAGGGGTGAAAATGTGATGTGATGCTTCGTAGTAAGTGCGTTTCTCACATCTTTCAAACGCTATAGCAAACAGGCAATACATAGTATCAATTTATAGCAAGTAATGAACGTGTAGCTTCCTCCGTGGAATTGATTGATGTGATTTATGGCAATGGTCATTCAGGCAACTAATTGGTATACATTCAGTGATCAAAAGACCAGGAACAGTCCTCCATCATTCCTTATGCTCTACGTTAGATATCATTGCTTTTTCTGCTGGCTTTAAACGCGTCTATTTCGCGGACGCTGCAGATGGCATGCAGCTGTACTAAGCTGGGTAATACATAGCGCTCTAGGTCTAATAGGTAAGCAACAACGCAAGCGTAATCATAATGGTTGCGCCACAAATACTAGCTGAATTATGAAACGTTTTCTGTATTGCTCTTCAATGACAGCTACTGATTATACCATGCGGCTATCCAATCAGGGCTTTACCGGCCACACTGACGTTTTGCAACTTTCAGGTTTACCGCATCCTCCCTCTGCACAAAATAACTCAAAAGCTAGGAGTGGAATTCAACAGCATGAAGAAGTAAGCATTTAGTCCAGGTAAATGCTTTTCGATTGAAGTTTCTTTTCTCAAGTTTCAAGGTTTAAGTAGGCGACAATTGATCGATCAGTTGTTTAAAAGGGTAGAAGCAGAAAATATATCAATGAAGTCAACTTGATGTACGCAAATAACCACTAACAATGCAGGTATTGCCCGGATTAATTTTGTGTCAATGCGGAGTTTAGGGACGTGACTAGACTTGCTCCGTTCGAATTGCAATTTCGGGACTAAACAACTTGATTCGCCCTTACCGCGCATGTGTCCAAGGAGCCCAACGTCCCATGTTGTTAAGTAAGGTCTACCAAGAGCATGACCAAAATGCATACAACTTGTTACTCAGCAGTATCTTTAGTATTACGTTGTGCTTTGGAGTGCAAGAATAGCGCTAAAAATATATCCCAAAATTCAGCCACGTAACACATTCCAAGGTGAAGTGAAAGTGTTGTTTTTGACCTCTAAGAATATTTCACTGTTTTGAACTGCCATATCTCAATGTTTAGTGGTATGTTACGCATAGCATTTGAGACGCTGTAGATAGAAAACAAAGCTACGTGCTAGGAACGTCAGACTATTTGCAATGGTTACTTGTTTAGCTGGAGCTCGTTTGCTTGTGAGTTGGTTGAGACAGCGTACTAGAGTTGGCGGTCGATAACTACAGTCGTTCACTCGTGTGCGCCTGTAGAGTGAAACTGTTGTTTCCGATGTTTTGCGGCTAGTCAGGGATTTATATGTTGAAGAATTTAGATCGTTTGAATGTTCCGTCCGGATTAATTTCACATAACTGCTAAGCAAACAGGAGGAGGGTATCCCACCATTCAGTTCACGTATTACGTGTAAGCACCGAGGAGCAATCAAACATGGACTCACTGACCAAACGATTTATATGCTCTGCAAATTGACATCGAGTGCTGAAGTTGACGTCATACCTATTCCATAGCAACATGACAAAGGCGTTAGTGAGCAGCTCGATACACTGCAATTGATCCTATGACTTCAATTAACAATCTATGACAGAGCCTAACATCGCAATCAAAAGCTGGCGGTGAATGAGACGCAGCTCGGATACCGTGCATTCATCTTTAGAAGTAGAAGAGCATCAGTGCATTATCTACATGTCTCACAATGTTGGCAGCTGGTGCAAGCTATCGCGTTTGGTGGCTAATGCACTTAAGATAAAATGGAACAGTTTAATATGAAAGCATACCAACTATTTCCAATAGCATTAGAGGCGTAGCACCTATCTGTTTTGCATTTTTGCGTAATTTTGGCGCCTTGTTTCCGCCACTCACCGGTATCTTGCTAATTATTCCAGCCTTTATGGCCTCCAAAAACCGATGTTGATTCTGCATGCAGAAGATGACCCAACGGTACCATTTAATCAAGGTAAACAGGTAGGTTTGGTGATTGAATTTCATAGAATACACGGATTATGTGCACTGAAATTCCGCTGTTGATTTGTTTTAACCGTAAATTTACGGAAGAGCAATCGATTTCCAGCTGGGAATTAAATATTGCCCACGGACTTAGAATAAAACTAGTAAGCACTTTGAAGGAGCTTAACCAGAGTTATAGTTCAGTGACAAGTGGAAAGCAAATTCTTCCATCCGTGACTCCACACCGTAGTTTGGAGGTTGTCCAAAAAGCACTACTGTTCACAAGAGCAGGAATACTTAAAGTTAATTGGTTTGGGCATATTGCTGCTTGTAAGTGATGCAGGCTTGTTAAGTGTGTAGTTTAACGTAAACCTAGTTTTGTTATTTCTGATTACTAACTTATCTGTAATGTGTTGAAAGAACTGTTTAAGTCCCAAGAAACTTACTTCCGAAAGCGCATACTAACGGATAGCACCAGGGAAAAAATGAGCTAGATAATTGTGTTCAGGGTTCCAGAGCACACCACTGGTAAATCCAAGCGAATATCTACCTGATGACAATGTGAACCTGCGACCAGATATACGGACAACGTACGGACTCTGCTTAGATCAGAATGTCCAAATTTGTTGCAAAGAGGGCCACATTTTGTGAGGTAAACATATGCGGGACCATATTCAGTCTGACAAAGGGATCATAACAAAAAGTACACATGTACGAAAAAGTGCAAGCCGGAATGTTTTATTTCATGATGAGGCCGAAGACCAGTATTTGGCCTGCAGGCTGGACTTTAGACACACCTGGCTTAGATGTAAAGCGACCGTGTCGTATCTTAGCAATGCAATATGTCAACACCCTAAGAGTGAATGCTAGCTGTCCAGGAGAAAATAAACATTTCTAGGAAAAGCCATTATTTCAGTGATTGCTCTATTGTTACCGATGATCTTAGAAATTTAATACGTCCTGGAATGTTCTAAGGTTTCCTCATGACTGTCAACTTGAAGATTGGCCGGATCGGCATGGAACTACTAATTTCGACAGTTGACATTCTTATTGTAGAAGTTGCAGCTCAGCAAGCAAACTAGAAATACAACCAAGGTCTGCTTCTGTTGTACAGAGGTTGTCGTGGTGGTTAATACATTATTGTGCCGAGATCACTTGCGGTATGATTTTTCCTTCGGTCGAGCTAGAGGTCTTTTGAAGAGGTAAAGTTCTTACTTCGGAATCGCAGCAAGTGGGAAGATTATAACACAAGCACCCAGCTGTCAATATACTAAGCAGTTATGGGTTTCCTCTGATTGCTTACTTAGTTAGCAAGTGCAGTTTGTTAATCTTAGCGAGTATCCGGCTGCATCATCTCGAGAAAAACAGTAGCATGATCGCAAGCAAATGACGTGTGTACTTTTAGGTTTAACTTCACTACCGATCTGTGTTTTCTGCATATAATGCAGACATGTGGTTTCCTCGGCTTACCATCGCAATGTTACTCGTCTGTGCGGTCTCAACAGCAAGTAGAGGATGAAATGGCCTTGTTGGGCATTTTAACAAACTGTACGCCCAATGCAACGGTCAATGAGTTACAAAGAATGTAGCGGGGTCTGTTAAAACAGCGATTTCAAGTTACACTCTGTACATCTGAAATTTTTGCCTCCTGGTATACACGGCTGCAGTGCCGGTATTAGGAATACACTTACCTGTAAAGGGTTGCCATTTTTATCCATTTCGTAAACCTTGCCTGTTGCAGCTCGCAGAACATCTGCAACGACAGTCACCGGTGACATTCGTTCCATTTTCGGCTGGTCGACAGTTGGGTCACAACAGTATTTATTCAGTCGAGGAATTCGCCAAAATACTCAAGTAAGAAAACCTTTTGTTAGTTTTAACTGAATCATAGCTGTGTGTGTGGGGTGATTCCTACATCGATGACCATTGTGAGGTAAGTGCACAATACAAATTCTAGCGTGACGTGTCCAGCATGTATCAAAGCAGCTATTTCTTAATTTAATTGCCGAAGTTCGTTGTGCTCTTAGCTTCTGCGAAAGCAGAGGGAAAGAATTTAAGTGCACGTGAGTCGCACACCCAGCGCAAAACTGCCTTCATATGGAAGCACGAGGGTCTGCGTAAATCTAACCCATCACGCTCCGGGCACCGAACACCATCAGTTTTGTAGAGCCACCGGTACATAACATGACTGCTACAAAAACATAGGAGAAAATTGATTCCAAAGAAGTGAAATGCGCGAACTAAACTGTGGAACGCATTCAAAGTACGCTCCTGGCCAGGTGTTTCCACGGAACCGATGTTGATGAAACCAGTTAGGATATGTGATCCCTCAGTCATCCAACCGATGATGGGTTGGATGAAAGGAATTCAAACGGTGCCCAACATCCAGTACTTGTAAATTGGGAGCAAGTCTAAACATACCCTGTCGACACAGGAGAACGGACAGTCGTCGCCTTCAACACGTTTTCGATCCGGTCAGTACTGTTCAGTTAAACACCTATGATCCCAGCAAGAAAGCGCAGTGAATCCAGTGACCAGTAGTAGGAAACTGAGGTTGCGGTCGACTAGGATACACAAAACAGAGTTAAGTTGCAAACGCGTAAAACTAATCGGGATGGAATGAAAGTTGCTGGGTAAATGTAAATTAAACGAAAATCGAAGCGCTACTGACTCTGCAACTGCGCCATATCCGATAGCGCCTGTAACAATTTATATGGACTATCCTGATGCTCTCATCCACGAAGAGGAGATACTCGAGCACATCCCTCAAACAAATTCCTTATGCTGTCATACCAAGTCAAAGATTGGCCATCTCGCCGCGTTGCCAAACTCTGTACCTTGGCTCAATGATTAATGGTATACTGCGGATAAAGTAAAGCCGAAGTTTAGAATTTTATGCGGGATGGTAGGTGAAGGTTTCAAAAGAAAAAGAAAAGGAACTATATACAGTGAAACCGAAACCAATGAACTTGTCGAGCAGAATTGTCGCATGCATACATATGGTCAAGAGGAGAGAAAATTGGGTAATATGTCTAAACATCATGTCAAATACCCACTGCATTTGTCAGATTAGGGAAAACTACAAGCGGAAGGCGTAAAAGAAACAATCGTTTTGAATTTCCTCATCAACAGTCCTATTACAGAAAAATACTTTAAGAATATCAACTCCGTAGGACAGTATCGAAGTAAAGCATTGATTAGACCAGGGAGCACTAAACTACGGCCTACGGGCCGGATCCGGCCCTCAACGTTACTTTGTAAAACCCACCGAATGTACCCGAATTTACTTGGTTTGGCGTATGGTACAAGGGACGTCATACTATTTACATTTAACACTGTATATCGTGCTGTTTGAACAACCGCGTGAGCCAGCTCGTGCTTGTCACGAGTGACATCATACTACCGTATTATTAGTGCCCGCATATCGTCAGAAAATTATTGTGAGTGATCATGCGTTAAACCCATTGATACGTGCATCCTGCTGTAGTTCCGTCTCCCTCTCACTTGTGTGCCTCCATATTTGGTTGATCAGCTCCATTGGTGCACGTGTTACATAAAACACCATCAGATAAAATGCCATTAGGTTTGCAATCAGGTCTATCACGCTCTAGCACTCCTTGCTCCACAGTTTGACCGCATTGCCCATGTCTCCGAAACTGCTATGGAACACTTAGTTAGCCATAAAACTAGAAAGTTATCTGCCAGCTTTTGGAAGACCAAGGACTTTACAATACTCTTAAAATGCACAAACTTAGCACCAGATCTAATCGTGAACGGTTAACGCAGCGACACAATTAAAAATCGGATGGTTGCAAGGCGAAATACTGCGTCGTAAAACTAGTGACCACACTGCAGTGAGTACTGAAACGGTTGACGGTAAGGACCACGTACTTCATGATCCAGCTGCAATCTGTGTAGCATGATTACTTCTTCGCCAGTTCCATGAGTCTCCAAACTGCCTATGAACCTGTGCACATAGTGTTTGCCGTAACCAACGTGCTATGCAGATTCGATATTTCCCCCAAGGGTATTCATCAAGTAATTAAGTCAAACATGTCATCCACCAGACTAGCATATGATGACATTACACCATCCACCATTAAAATAGGACGGTCTGACATAGCACTGCTCTTGATGAACTTGTTTACTCTACCAATGGAATCCAGCCACCTTCCGCATCAATATACAACGTCGTTTCTCATGCCTCAGTAAAAACGCGGTCCTAAACGAATGACTAAAGTACAAGCCAACCTATTACAACCCAAAAATCGCCCCGTTATTTGAAAAACTGGTCGAAAAGGGAATGTTGAAGTTATTCACCTATTTGGGTTAGATACACAACTTGTGGTATGGTTTTCTTGACACGTGATCGTGCACCACCTGCCAAATGCATTAGCTGAACTACATTCCAGAAGCAGTCGATTCCGCCTGTGCAGTATTACTTTTATTTCTGGACTTGCACCAAGCATTCGACCGGTTATCACACAAGCGGTCGCTATAAAAGGTAAAGGCTTTTGGAATCCATGCCCCGTTACTACGTTGGCTACACAGAATGGTCTTTACCAGGTAGACACTTTAGGTGACTATCGTCCTTCTCCACGCGTTTACACTAGTGCGTACTGAGTCTTTTAATGCTCCTGCCCTACATCAATAACCTCACCACATCCGTAACTTCTGGTCGTCCAGTTTAATTGATAAGGATGCCAAGATCGTCTATAAGCTTCGGTGTGACGTCATCAGCATCATACACGTTAGCCATAAGTGGGGAACACCTCAGCTACTGTGCCGCAATACATAGTAAAAAGAAAAAAAAGCAACTCGACAAAGTCATCGTTTTTCCACCTCCCCTCTGCTTCCATTCACACCTCCAGCGCGCAAACAACGCACGTCGCGGGAGTCGGTGAGCTGGCATGCGTAACACGTGGCCGAGCCATCGGAGCCTGGTGCGTGAAATAACGGTGCTGAGCGGTTCAATTCCCTTTCCTGTGCCGTAAACAAAGCGTCGAACACGCTCGTTGCTCACGCGGTGTTCCCACCAGATGTGAGCTAAATTGCGAAGGCACCGGTAGTCGAACGTAACTAGCCTCTTCAGGTCCGTTGCTTTAAGCGGCCAGATTTCACAACCGAACAGTAGGGTCGAACGTACTGCTGCATTGTACAATCTACCCTTCAGGGCGAGAGTGATGTCGCGCCGGCGCCATAAGTGGCGAAGATTAGCAAAAGCGCCCCGTGCTTTTGCTATACGGTTCGTGATCTCATCTTCAATCCCACGGGCGCTGATACAACTTCCAAGATAGTTGAATTTTTGAACGACTTCTAGCTGATCCCCACCAAGGGTCAGCGTAGGGGGTGGTCCAGACCAATCTTGGAGTACGCTTTGCACTTCGTGGGTGCGAAGCAAAGCCCGAAGTGACGGACAGCTTGTGCTAATCTGTCCAGTGCCGCTTGGCACGACCTGAAAGTTGTTGGGAACTCCTGAACCTATGCACGTCCACTTATTTCCCCTTTGATGGACAAGTATACCAGCAACTGAGAGGAAGTCCCACGGGATCCCCAATTTCGGGGCTCAATGCAGAAGCCGTAATGCAGAAATTGGAGCGCATCGCACTGCCATATATCAGTCCCAAACTCTGGATACGATACGTGGGCGACACATCTGCCATCGTAAAACGGAACATAGTAAAAGCCACGCACGAGTTGCTTAACAACACATTCGAGAATATCAATTTTACGATGGAATTAGATAAGGATAACAAGTTGCCACTTTTTGGATGTACTGGTCACTAGGAATCCCGACGGATCTCTGCAAACGTGCGTATATAAGAAGAAAACTCATACGGACCAGATATTAAACTGCCACAGCAACCACCCGATGAATCACAAGAAGAGCTGCATTCAAACCCTATTCAAAAGCGCGGAAACGCACTGCGGCACAGCCGAACTGCGGAAACATGAAGAAAAGCACCTATAGCAAGTGTTTAAAAACAACGGTTATCCGAGAAATTTCATCAGAAGAAGCCTAAGAAACGAACGTCTCATCAACAGCAGCTGCAGCCGCAGTAGCAGTCACCTGAGCAAGCAAACAAACGAATAGTGCTTCCCTACGTCAAGAACGTCTTCGAACTAACAGGAAGATTGCTGCCGTTACATGGGATCCCTGTGGCTCACAAACCAAGTGCCACCCTAAAGAAATCGATCTCAAGACCCGAAGAAAAATTCGACCAAGCCGACAAACGCAATGTCATCTATCAGCTTAACTGCAGCGACTGCGATAAAAACTACGTCGGACAAACTGGAAGGAAGCTTTGTACACGAATCACCGAACACAAGGCGGCCGTCAGAGGACATGATCCGCACTCATTGGTTTCTGCGCATGAAGATCAAGAAGGCCACCATTTCGATCTGGAGAATGTTAAAATCCTAGCACATGGAAGTACAAAACACACCAGGAAGTTTTTGGAAGTCTGGTACTACAACGAATTCAATCAATCGACACATCGAACTGGACGCAGTGTACGCATCATTACTGGCGAAAGACCGCCAACGCAATCGATTGAAGCCGGTGGAACGTATGGCGAGCCAACCGGAACTGACGACAGACTCGTTCACAAGTGCAAGCAGACAAAGGCCACGAAACACAAGGAGTCAAGGTCATCTGCCCATCAACCAGGCTGAATCGGATGGAAATCCCAACTAATAGGATTGCTCGCCTCCACGGGCATCCACGGCGGTATAAAAACGCGCTCCCAGCGCAGTCTCACCGAGGCTCCTCTACGCTATTCTACGCTACTGCACGCCACTCAACTACGCACTGATGATGTCACCTCGATTGGTGACGAAACGTTGGCAACCAAATTGGCAAGCTCAGAGAACAATTCAACTGTCAGCATGGTATACGTCAACGTGAGAAATGTTTGAACAGAAAGGGTGACAGAATTGAGCTGGTGTAGCTGCAGAGGTTTATTATTATATTTTTGGTTGGTACGCACGTCACTGCATTATCGAGAACGTTTGAACAATCTTCAACTGGAAACTCTTCGAATGCGACAACTGCAGCATAACTTGTTGGTAATCTGCAGCCTGCCAAACCAAAACTGTTCCAATTTGTCGACACTCGAGCTTCATCGTAGCTCAATTTGTGAGCAAATCCACAAGTATTATACTCTGATTATGCCAAAGGCTAAAACAAGCATGCACTCAAAATACTACCCTGGTCAGATACACGTATCTGTGAAATAAACTGCCAGTCACACTCAGATCATGCGACAGGGTGACAACATTTTTACTAAAAGTTAACAATTTGCTTTGATCTGGATACATTGATTACTATATTCATTTGGTAAAAATCGCTCGATGATCCATTGCAAGATATGTCCAAATCATCTAAACACCCCGGTTTCCAAACCTTAACTTTCGCCACAACAATCCATCAAAACGCTTTCGTGTGTATCACACCCTTCTATATTGCACATATTGGTATATGCCCCCACAGGTACAGTTTCTCGGTTCATGCGAAAGATACATAGTATTAACGTTATGATTATTATTGTGTAGGTGTTATTTTGAAGCTATATTCGTTAGCTATTTGAGGTGAATTGCAAGTCTTTAGTACGGCATTGTGCTGAAAGCGCAAGTTGTTGGAGATGGTACATTTTGCTACGTGCAATATACGTAATTAGTACAAGTTTCCCTTTCCAGCAACATCTGCTGACTTCGCTATGGCTGAAACACCGCTCAAACCGTCTAAGCGTCTTGCCATATATATATATATATATATATATATATATATATATATATATATATATATATATATATATATATATATATATATATATATATATATATATATATATATATATATATATAGGAAATCATTTTACGGGTCACATTCCATTACCGCAGGTGCCATAATACGTTTGATGCACCTTCGGTGAGTCGTATTCTCAACAGCGACACATAGCCTTGTGCCTTCCGGTGCATCAACTGGATTTTTATTATGTTTGTATTGCGACATCCTTTTCTCGTTCAGGTCTCATCTATTTCAGCCTCTAATAAAGCTACTACGAAAAGGAAATGGGACCCCTTGTGTCTTATTTTCATTATTTCTTTCCTCCGACTACTCGTTGTGGCTTGTAGGTGTAGTGTAGAATTCTCATGCGGCTTACTCTAGTCACTCTGTAAGTGTTAGAAACTTAAACTTACTAGACCATCGAATGTGAACGATATTTTCGGTAAAGTAGAATAAGCGACCATTTTGGAGGATTTCGCCAAGTGTTTCAAAAAAGCACAACCCCATGCTGCATTCACAGTTGAAGGAGAAAGCAACATTTCTCCAAGATTCTTGGATGAGTGTCCAAAGAAGAGAGCAGATGGATCAAGCCAGTTAGTGATGTACGTGAAGCCGTACTGGACGGGAAACTACACATACTTTCCGAGTTTCGTACAACTTAGAGGAAAAATTACTAATGCATACACTGAGTAACCGTACACGTAAGATCTGCAGCAACCACCGTATTGCAGATGAATTGAGGAGAATCAAGAACACCCTTCATGAAAATGGTTATCCAGAGCGCTGCATTATTATCCGATATGTAGCCCAACGACCAGAGGCCCTTCGTACAAACGGCAGAGAAGAAACAGCTCTCCCTTTTGATCCTCTTTAATGGTGACAAAGCAGCTAAGACATATGTGTAAAGCTTGGTCTAATCCCGTAGAATGACTTTTAGTGCAATCCACCTTAACTAGATATACACATGCGAGTCGCTAGCTGTTCCTAGACTCAGTGACAATGGGCTTGCTCAGCTCCAATCAATGGCATTCTACTGGTTCACCAGCTGCTGTAAAGCTAAGCATATTGGACGCAAGATCCAGCACATAGAAAACGAATAAAGGAATGTATACCGAATGCGCTCATCAAAAAAAGACGGAACTAATTTGAGTGCCAAAACAAAACAACTAATCAGTGCGGGGCAGAATCTTGACAAGTGTAGTGCCTTCGAAACCCTATGTAAAGTGCCACCCCATTTGAACCATCAGTCGGCCCATAGCCTAGATATAACGAGCTTGTCTCGTAATCTTGAGGCGCATGTTCGAATTCACGTAGGGGTGTGCCTCCCCGCGGTATACTCAGTCCACGTACGACTGGTGGTCGCACGGCAGCGAAGCGCCGTTACGGCGCACAGCTGACACATTAGTATTATTATTATTATTATTATTTGAACCATCAACCAGCAGTAAGGTTACTAGCAAGCGCTGAAGCGGTATGCATCTAATTGACAAGATCAAGTCTCCACATCCAAAAGAAGGCTGTGCCCGCGTTGCAACCTCGTTGACGAACAGCTTCAAGAGGCGAAGCAGATCCGGCCCTACAAACTAACGTGTCTTCTGTCACCTGACTACCTGACGCACAGCATAAGAGCAGTTAGATTTTTTCTAATCAATGGTTTACTTCAAAACTGTCCTATGGATTTTATTTTCTTTAAATAATTTTTGTCACTGGCCTGACGATAAAGAAATCGGAAACAATTGTTTGCTTTACGGGTTCCGCTTGCATTTTTCTCGAACCTGATAAATAAATTGTATGCAAATTTGGCGCAAAATGTACTGATGCAGCATTACTCTCAAGGACATTAATCCATAGCCCGTTGCTTTTATTAAACTTGTATACCAAATTTGCGCACGTGCTCGACGGCCTGCATTTCAGTGTTCGGATGAAGTGCTCCTAGCCGTTCAAACGAGTCACATTTTGTCGCTCAAAATGGTTGAGTACAGCTATTCATCATCAGTATTTTGTTGTGCTGATTTGAGAATCGACATTCGCTCAGCGCGGATGGCATTTACGACGAAGAAAGTTCCATTCGCCGCTTTTGTTAAGGCTGCACCGGGAATTGTACCCGCGACCGTTATGTAACCGCAGTGAGTCTCACTGAGACGACTACGGGTACGGTATTGGTCACCCAGGGCGCTACAACGGTCCCTACCATAATCACCACCCGGTCACTAGTAGCTGGGCATGTAGCCGATGTGTATGATTTGGTTGCTGTACACTCAATTTACTTGACCGACACAAAAGCACAGCAGTCCCACAACGTTTGCCTGACTGTACTACATTTAGATACGTTTTAATGCATAGAAAGAAATTTACTGGGTCTGGACTTTAACCACAAAGAGACTGGGTGCCTGGAGCGTAGTCCCCTTGCGTGCTCAAGTTACTGGGTGCAAAAGCTGTACACGGCCTGAATTGTGTATGCAGTAAGCTATCTTTACCGTGTTGGCAAGTCTAAGATAATTACAAAGATTTTCGTTTCATATCCATCGCCTCTGTACTGGGAATCAAACTAGATTGCGGTCAAGCAAATATGCAAGGAAGGAATGGGTTTCAAGGTGGTAAGAAACGGTTTGCCATGCTTCCACTTTATGAGACATAATCACAGTATTGTTAGCAAGTTGCTTTGACCAATGTTGCAAGTTACGCAGTGATGTTGAGATTATTCCAATTTTCGATTCCTTTGTTTGTTTTATTTCCTTCTCCACCAGCCAAATGGTACAGTTACGTAACGTAACTCACTCTACGACAGGAAACGTGAATGTCTGCAGCTGAACCAGCCGAAAAACCGGACACCGAAACAATGTGAATTCGCAATGCCCAGTCCCCTTCCTTGATTAATTAAACCTACTATTACATGTCGTTAGTGGAATCCTGAAAAAAATTTTGAAGAATGGTGAATCCGACTGTTTATTCTCTTCTCTCATACCATTTAACTGCAATGCGAAAGGGCATATGAAAAGCATCGGCCCTCGTTTGCACCCTATATTGTACAATGGAGCAACTAAATGCATTAGCAGATTGGCGGCTTCACAAAGCAAAGTAGGGACCCCTCAGAAAGCGAGGCTGTTTGAATAACGTGCTTCGAGAGCAATCTGCTTGCCACATAGACCTTGGTTAGGGAATGAACACGTACCAGGTTTCGATGTGAGAATGGGTTGATTGTGAATAGTTCACAGGAGTACGCTGAACAACCCGAGTAGTTAAATTTGCAATTTGGATTTCTTCCCGGATGGTAAAAAGCAAAAATATACGTGGTTGACTGACCAGTTAGTCCGAGTCACTAGCTTAAATAATCAGGATGACTAGGATGTTCACGTGCACAAATCGCACACGATATGGTGACAATTCAACTAATTGACGACAATGCAGAAAGTCACCGCATGATGACTGCCACGATCTGAGTATCATTAAGGCCAAATCCGTCTTCGTAACGATGTGTTGGGTGAAATGATACGTGCCGAGCCCTTCCGCGCGACAAATAACTTGTAATATATGCAAAGCAAGGGTTTGGAACTGCTCTTCGATTGTTCCAGCCGTAATCAGTGCACAGAGTAGGTAGTGATTCACACGTTAGGTGAAACAGTTCAGCGTGTTTAGCTGATGGCTACCACGACATTACTACTAGTACTACTCTCACCAAGAATAATAAATGGCAGAGAATATAGTTTAGTGGTTCGGTAGGTAAGATCATGCGGAAGACTGGAAAGCCACGTGAACGAGCGAGGACAAAGCAAGCACACGCGTCATGAATAAGATCGAACGGGGCAACGCACGCCCCACAGTGCGAGAGGAGAGCGGATCGCGTGCAGCGAATGCTAAATGACCTGAGTCAAATAGAACAGAGAAGACAATAAACCAGACAGAACCGACTTTGTCGGGGCATCCAGCAGTAACTCAGCCGAATAAAACGACCGCTATGAAGTAAACCAGGAGCCTTAGAGCGACTCAAAGTTTGTCAGAATGCGAGTTACGGAAGCGAAGAGACGGCGTCAGACAGACAGCCAAACCCCCCAAAGTTGAGAAGAAACGAAACACGAATCTGGGATGTAGTAATTTCCCATGTATGTTACGCTGTGGGACGTAAACATGACCGGTATATGCACGCATGCCTAACGACTTGGTGAATGGTGTTCGCGTGCAATATAGATGGCGCTTTCTTTCCGCTTCGTTCTTGCTATGATAGGAGGGGGAAAAGGCAACCTGTATTCGAAGTGCACAGAAAATCACGTCAAAATCGTCAGATTGAATGAGAACGGGTCATAAAGGGTTGCTAATAGACCATCAATGAGGATGGCTGGTACCTTGGTAGCGTTCAAAGTCAGTAGGAATCAAATGCAAACACACTCGGTAGGTGCAGCTCCCATCTGACATGGCTCCATGCCGTAAATTGACCGCTTTTTGGTTTTACCTTACTAACCTCGAAGTTGCAATATACGCATGTCCAGACAGTAGAACGTGTCGTGGATACAAGGTAGACAATTTGGGCGATTTCAGTAAAAATGAAAGTGGAATGCAGTACCGCGGGAACAAATGCAGTATACTCTTTGAAATGAATTGACAATATCCATTTGGAACTTAATGGGATATGAAAAACGCTTTCCAGCCACACTGTTTAGTTATGCTGTAACACATGTCACGCTATGACGTTGCATACCTGAGTAATAAACCATGAACTCATATGCTGACATTTTCTTAATTGAGAGACTTAATACAAGCCACAACAACGCTTGCAGTAGGATCTGGGGGTACCACCATCATAGGTGGTATAGGTACTAAAAGTAGCGAAACTACAAATAAATCTGATTGAACGGTTGCTAATAAGGGCAACTGGTAGTGTGATGGTCCAGCAGTATAGCGCTACTTTGCGTTTGTGCGAAGGTGAAAAGCATACAGAAGTAAAACGGTGACTGTGATAGGTCCAAGTCCGATCTACAGAAAGCAATGTCCACAACAATAAGTAAGTTAAATGGAATGCGGTCTTGATAAAGTAAATGAAGGCGGAAGGCATTTGTGATCATTTAGACCACGACAAAAAGTATTTATTTTCTAACAAAGAAATATCAATGTGCGTACCTTATAGAATGCACTCGACTGATGGTAGAAATGTGTGCCTATGTTACCTAGCGCGTCAGGTTGCATTGTTATAGATAAATGATTATTTTCAGTAATGTCAAGGCTACGTCATACGAATTATATGTGAATGTACTGAATCACAAAATATACAGAATGCAAATATGTGGCATATGCGTTTAAATCATCAATGCAACACTCGCCGCTAACTACTGGCTGTAACTTGGCACCGGGAAATTATAACTTCGCCGAGATCGTCGTTTGTATGATCAACTGCCCTTAAGCTGCAAAAACCAGCAAAAGTCACCCATCATAGAAGGAGTGTACTTGCTACTGTAGCGCTGCTAAATGACTGAAATGTCTTGACGAAAGCGCTCACCATGCTCATCGCTAACAGCTCCTAAGTTACCAGGGAGAAAGTCAAGTTGACTATGCAAAAAGCTTACTTTGAGTGAAATTCGAGCAGCAACAGCCCGATAGTCCGCAATGAGCTTTTTTGATGTCTTTGAAGTACTTTGCCTTTGTTCTGCCAAAAAGTCCTGTACACACTATCTTGAACGATCTCCACGCTTCTAACTCAAATAAAGTCAACTGGCATTCGAATACACTGTCTGCCATTATCAGGCGAATACCAGGCCCATTAACTATCCCTTCTTTGAGCTTCGCATCACTGATCTTTGGATACACTTGTTTCAGATCCTGGAACGCAAAACCATCTCGCTTGAGGGCTTTGACAACCTTTTTGATCAAACCAAGCTTGATGTGCATTGGTGGTAGATAGATATGATCAGGTTGCACAAGAGGTGTATGCTTTATACTCATTTTATCTGCAGCTTATTCCGTTCTTGATGTCCACTTTTCCATTGTGCAGTGCTGTTGAGTTGCTCCGCTGTCCCATAAGCGGTCTTCTTGCATACCTATTAGGAGTCCAAGGAATTTGAAGTCAGCACAGCCGTTTCAACAGTATTTATCGTAGTTCAGTGCAGCGGGTATCGGCTGCATACTTTCTACAGTCTCCTTCGTTTTGTTGACATGCAACTGAGTCACAGTTGGGTACACATTTCCGTTGTGAAGTAGTATGGACTTAAGTTTACTCTTCGACGAGTCAATGAACAAAAGTCATTCATCACTGATATGCCTCACACCAAGTTCCTTCATCAGTCTTTCCACGTCGGAACAGTAACAAGAGCATTCTCTCGTGTCATAGAAAGCAAACAATTTAACCCGTCGCTTCTGTATACAGTATCTGTAGTGTTTGCAGCAAGTAAGTGCCACTGCTGCAGCCGAGGTGCCAGAAACTCTACGTTGTCTTTAGGCAAGCCCAAGTCAGTACCAAGTCATTCAGCTCTGATTGTTCAATAAGATGTGGGTTGACAACATCAGCTTCAAAGTTTTCACAGATGTCAGAATCAGGGGAAGTTGACGATGCGGAATCACTACTCACCACCAGTGTCATGTTCACTGGAGGCACTGGAATGCGTAAAGTGTAATCATGAGAAAAACGTAAAATAGCTGATGGAAGATCGGGGTAACGAATTTTGTCCTCGTTTCGGTTGGAGATTCCAATGACACTGGTTAGGCAGATGCAGCGGTCTGTTGTGTAATCCATCGGCTCCCTCCACACCAGGGGGATTGTAAGGGACATCTTGCATTTGCGCTTGAGCCACTGAGTTAGATGAAGTTTGCACGACACACAGATAATATGCGGCGCCCCTTCTTATTCTGATCTCCCAGTTTCTTTTTGAAATATGTGTGGTAGGCAGACTTCAGTAGTGAAGAGAGGGGTCTGCACTGCGAATTCTAGTAAAATGTTCACAGACAGAACAACAATGTTTTCTGTCATTAACACAACCGCATCTTTCAGTCATGATCAAGATATCAATTAAGAAAATATAGCTCTCAAACGACTTTCAGTAGCAGGTGGATAACTTGGTTAAGGGGACAGCTTTTCCACGATTTCACGGAGATAATGGACTAATCACAGGCGAGCCTACGATGTATGGAACGCACTGCTTAACTGAAATGAAAAGTTGAAAGTAAACAGTGAGCCAACGTGATGGAAACTTTTGCTTTACATATTCGCAATCAGCTCACTTGGTGCTACTAGAAATATCCTATCTCATTTCTGTTATAAAATTATGTTGCACAGTGTAATTGTTGTAAACTAACAGACATTCAAACGGTTTCGGAGGCTGAATTGTAGCCATAACAAAGCAGGAAAACTCTCATACACATCTTCCGAATAATAAATGTAGCCAAAAACAAACGGGATCAGCTGAGACAATATAGTCCTCAAGTAAAGAAACCTGACTATTCTAAGCTTCTGGTACTCGTGACACTGCTATACTAACCGGGGAGAAATAGATATATCATCGACACAGTTGTCATTTCAGGAGGAACTCATGTTTTTCTGTCACAAATCGACAATCTTAGAGACCCGTGGACTGCTGGATTGGAATGCAGACAGCCAGATTGGAGGCAACACCGATGGGACTAGCATCTCGATGTTTCACGCATAAAGCTCTTTTCCAAATTACTAGATGGGAGCGCGTTGACAATACATATTCGTCCAAGTAAGTAAGTGAGTCTGAAGCGAATGCATTGGTTGATACGTAATCCAAGCGGTACGAACATCACATGTGAACAGGATACGACATGTCCGATGTTTCACAGGCGAAGCGGAAAAAGGCAATGGGTGCTTGTGCTATATGCGCATGTGTGCATGTTACTAACCGTGGTTAGTAAAAATAAACCAATAACTACGGGTACATTCACAAATGTAGAAAGCAAGCTGCGTTAGACAT